TATATTGGTAAAGGCAATGCTAAGATGTACCAAGTAGCAGTCATTGCACCCCAAAAAGGGTACCTTCAACCTTTTCAATCCACCACAATCTCCTAGCAGTCCTGGTGAGAAATTAATTCTGCAACCCTGAAATTAAAAGTGACTTGAAAGAAATGAAATAGACAATGACTTATAAATACTATGTGGTAGCCTACTCGTATTTATTCCAGTGCTCTGGTACATCATATAGGTACACATGTTTTCCTGTTCGTTGTAGTACTCAACTCCCTGGTATCTTTAGTCGTTTTACACTAAAATAAGCCATTTACACTAAAATAAATTTCAATTTTGTTATTTTTTTACATAATTTAAGGTTTTGTATCATCTTACCTTGTTTTTTAACTTCAAACAGTACGTCTTCAACATTTCTCCGTTTAGAAGACTTATTGTGCAATCACAAAAAAATTAAATTATTTAATTAAAATATGTTTATTGCATTACAGTAGAAAAATCAGTCAGTAAAACAAGTAATTTATTTAACAAAGTTTTTAGATTTTTAGACGAGTTATTTACATCCATGCTACTAATAAAATAATTCCAAAAAATTAAACATTGTACAAATAATACTAATTATAAATTAAAGTGTATGGGGTTGCGTTGCTTCTGGGAAAAACATCGCAAGGACCCATACACCGAATGAAAAAAATAATTTATTAACGAAACGCGAATTACTAGAACCTGCCGTGGGGGGTAGGCGACAGGAACACATTTAAACGCGGAAATCATTTTAAACGATATTAAAATTACAAATAAGTCCTCGCACAAACAAAAAAAAATAAAATGTGGACGCAAATAACTCAAAATTATAATTTAACAAAATTATAAAAAATAATTAAAAATTGTCAATGTGATTGAATAAAAAAAAATCATGCACAATGAATCCCTAAAGCAATCCGCCACTGCGCAAAATACTGTATGAAATCTGAAACAAAACAAATGTAGTCAATCGTAAATATTTGAAACATAAGATTTATATTAAAATTTAATATTATTTAATTATATTTAAATTTATTAATCTAAAGATTGCATTAAATTATTTATGTTAACTCAAATAGCTAAAATTAAATATTTTCACAACAATAAACACTAAGGCGACACTTCAGCACAAATATATTGGATTAGAAAATGTAACGCAAATCGTTTAATATTAAAGAGACGAATTTTTACTTCACTTTATAATATTTACATTCTTATAATTATAATTCAACAAAAAATCAAGTCATATCGAATCAACCAAAACAAAAGTTCCATGACACGTATTTGAAACTGAATGCACGAAATGATTACATAATACATAAATATTTTTTAAAAGACTTACCACTGACTGTAGTGTAGTGTTCACCGAGAGGTCCAAATACAGAATGATTTTAGTTGTTATTGCGAACCTCTTTTATTGGGGTCAGAAAGGGACAAAACTATGAACTGTTACCAGATGATACTGAAATTCAAAAATTCAAAAATTGTTATCTAATTGAATAGTTTCGGGTACGGAACCATAGAGGGTGCAATACGAAAAGTTTATTGTACCTAACAATCAGTCATAATTCAACCTTCGTGGCGAGATGGTCGAAATTATTACTGCTAATATTTGCATCTAGTTCTGTTTGATTCATATATTTGATATTTATTATTTGTATTTGCGTCTTATTAATTTGTGCGTTTTTATATATAATTGTAAAATAAAACTAGTGGTGTATGGCATCGTGCCTTAAGGCAAATTGCTAAAACTTTCCGTACAGTTATGGAATATTTGAGTAATAATAAATGATTTCAAATAGATTATTATAAATCCTGTAACTTTTTTACAGAACATTTTACAGAACAGTGAATAAACAAAATTTAATCAATCAAATTTAAAATGAAGAACATTGCCTAATATTTATAAGAATCATATAAACTGAATTGGAAAGTTTAAATCATTTATTTGAAGTACTTAAGGGCTAGAAAAAAATCGAATTATTTTTGATATTAAAAATAAATTGGAAGTTCAAAAAAAAATTAAGTTTTATATCACAAAAGCAATTGTTTCGTCAACACAAGCAGAAGGTTCTTTGAATCATTCAAATTGGTTGCTTAGTCGAATGCAACTTTTTGCACATTTAGCTCGGAGTCTCCCAAACCTGGACCTGCCTTTGCGAAAAACTAATCACCACATTTCCCCGTCAATATGAACCGAATATTTTTTGTATCATTATAGTCGGATGCTCCGTTCTCGCAAAAACTCAATTTCAATTTTCTGCATTATTTGCACCGTATCTCCGAAATGGCTGGACCTGCCTTTGCCAAAAACTAATCAGCACATTGTTGTTTATCAATTTATTATATAATTTAATCCTCGTCTATAACTTTATTTCTATCTCTAATTAAGATCATGTTCTATATCTCGGCAAACAAACAGTGCGCATCTTTATATTATCCGATGGAAATCTTTCAAGAATAATAAATACGATATCTCAAGTAAAGATTCAACAATTTTACTTAATAAAGGAATAAAGGAATGGAACTCTTAATTATACGGATGACCTTTGGCTTGTTTAAAATTCAGAGATGATTATTTTCATCGCAGGTTGCATCAAGGATCGAGTTGGAGATTTTTCATTTAAACTTTTCTTGTTGTCAGAATTAATTATTGAGTGAATAATATTAAAGCTGATTTAATTATATACTTATAATAATATAATTAGTAATTCATTTCTTAGAAAATTATGAATATTATAATAATTTTATAAACGTTATAAATAAATTTCAAGCTTAGAATTTTTACAAGCATTTCGTGAATCTATTTTGATTTCATGTTTTTTGACAAAAACCAAAAAAATGTCCCGTATTTTCTATTTATTGCTAAAGAATGGAAGATGGAATTCAAAGTAGTTTTATTCCAAACTTTTATATCAGAGTGTATATAACCGTTGACATGAAATCGTTGTAAATTTTATCTAGTTTCTCCCTATCTAACTGAAAAAACTCTCAATTGCAATATTTAAAAATAAATGAAAATCATGAGAAAAAAATTATAAAAATGCTAAAAAATTTACTTGTTTTTACCTGACAAATAAATTGATCGAGAGAAAACAGACAGTTTATAGCATTTTATAGTTTTTTTATATATTTTTTTTATTTCTATTTAAATTCGTATATACAATTCTCTGAGTATATTATACGATAGATAGATGGCACTTGCCTTTGAAATTATAATCCACTCAGTCTACAAAATTTATTACTCAAATAAAGACTTCACTTCATTCCTAAGATAATAAAGCATCCGCACAAGATCCATTAACTTTATGAAGTTGAATAAAAAATAATAAGAACTCTGTTAAATTAGGTTATACACCCACTAAAAACCCAAGAGGAGGCGTGAGAGAAGATTTTCAAGAAATAAAGGAGAAAAATTTATATGCGGCATTTTAATATATAAATTTTAAACATAACGCAAAATCTTCGAAGGTTTTATAACGTAATCTTATCCAAATGCCTTTCGGCAAAGTTTATGTAAAATCGATAATGTGATTTATGGGAAAATCTGATTTAGACGCGTTTTTCATGCGCAAAATGGGATAGAAAAATATTTCCATAGAAAAATATTTCACAGGAAATTATGAATTTGAATAAAAAAAATAAATAAATATATATAACATAGGTATCTGATAATTTATTAATATTTCTGTATATTCATTATTTTATGTACTAACCATAAATATTTTGTAAACAAATTATTTTAATTAACTAGTTGGGTGTGTGGCATCGTGCCTTAAGGCAAACTGCTGGAACTTCTCGTACCGTAACGAAATGTTCGAGGAATACTGAATGTTTTCAAATAGATTATTATTAATATTGTAACATTGTCTAATATTTATAAGAATTATATAAACTGAATTGCAAAGTTGAAATTATTTGTTTGAAGTACATTAGAACTATAGTCAGAATTAAAAATAAAATCTGAATTATTTTCGATATACAAAAAATTAAAAAAAAAAGAAAAATAAGTTGAAACTAAAAATATTTTTTTCCAAAATCAATTATTTTGTTAAGACAAGCAGAAAGTTCTTTGAATCAATTAAATCGGTCGCTTAATTCTCTCAAAAACTGCCATTTTTCTTAGATGCATGTTTCTTAGATCATTCAAATCGGATGCTCCGTTCTCTCAAAAACTCGATTTCTATTTTCTGCACTTTTTGCTCCGTATCTCCGAAACGGCTGGACCTGCCTTTGTCAAAAACTAATCAGCTCTTTCCCTTATCAATAAGAATCGAATGTTTCTTGAATCATTCAAATCGGTTGATCCGTGCGCCCGAAAACGTAATTGGAAATTTTTATCTATACATACACACACACACACTCCCACATCCATTTTGCCTGAGGTATGCCAAAACGTTCAGAAACCTTCAAAACGTCGAGAAATGTAAAAAATTTTAAGTTCGATTTTCGGCCCATTACAATAACTTACCCTACGAGAAGTTAATAAAGTAAATTAAAAAATATCTATTTGCTCACAAATGTTCCATGTATATTCAGGTTACTGTGAAATAATTTAGAGCTGTGTGTATGGAAATAATTAAATTATGCTCGTTCATGAATTTATAATACCAGAACATACAAAGAATATCTCATTTACAGCTGTTTTATTTGAATTTCGTTAACAATTCAGGATATTCATATGCTATGAACATATATCCGTACAACCCCGAAATGTAATGTTGAATGTGCAGTTATATAATTATGCACATATATATATATATATATATATATATAAGTGCCAAAGAGCTTTCCTCTTTGATATTTATTGCAATTAGCAACTACTGTGCTTTCAAGTGTGCACGATAAATGTCTAAATATGCATGTGACATACATGTTTCATGGCCTTTTAACCACTCTTGCAATTGCAATATGCACATATATATGCATTTATTACCCAGTAACATTTAGTCATAATTTTAATAGATTTGCTTTTATTATTATAGTGGACAGCTCGATGCAATATGATGCTTTACGAGCTTTTTTGAAGCACGAAAATATATTGAGCAACGTATGGATCGGCTTAGTGAGGAGTCATAAGAATGGAGCTTTTACATGGGCGTAAGTAATAATTGAAATAAAATAGTTGTGAGTAGTACCTTGCCTTGATGCAAGTAGCATTAAATTTCTGATATGTATACGTAATGAACTTAATCAATAAGATTTGAAATTTGGTTATTCAGGTAAAATGTTCTACTGTTTATTTCGAAAATAAAGTTTTCACTTTCACTAAAAATTATTTAGTGCGATTTCTAATTAATATCTTTTAAATTTACTTACTTTGTCTGTAATCATATAAATATAATTAAGTTGTTTAGCACATTTTATTTCATGAATTTCGAGTTTTAAAAATGAATTTAATCAAAATGTCCTAACGGCATAGATTCCTATTAAAATCGCTTAGGTGCGGGGCGCCATTTTAAATTTTATTGAATTTTTTAAATTCAACCGCTTATTGTAAGCCTATAATATTTTAGTATGTTATTTCAGACTATAAAATCTATCTTTTTATAAAGTTTTTGAAAATCGTCAAATAATTTTTTTCAAATTTTGATTACTAAACAGCCCGGCCGATCTTTATCAACGCGATTTCCAACCAAATTGAATTGATTTTTTAAAATCATTTCAAGACTGTACTTAAACATTTTACATTTTTGTACTAATTACACAGTCCTTAGTTGAACGGCTAGCAAATGTTTGAAATTGGTCAAGCCGTTTTTTGAAAAAACGTTGACGAAAAATCAAAAACACACACATATTTTTTTTCAATTCAGAATGACTTGAAACTCGAGAAAACATAAATATTTTCATTCTAACATAAACAAATTTCTTCTAGGGGATGTTAATAATATATAAAATTCAAAAAATAAAATAAAACAATCAACACAAGTATTCTAAAGTAAGGTCAACAAAATGTTAAATATTTACATAATTTTACAAAACTCAAAAATGGTATATTTATTAGCTTATCAAGATATTATGATTTTATTTTTCTGAACTAAGAACCTCTTTACTTTCTCAAAAAATCATTTATACAAAAAAAAAACTATTCATAAAGTTTCAGGAATACAGAATAACCGCTTCTTTAAGAACTTATTAAAACCAAAATATTTTTAATTAACTCTCGTTTCAAAATTAAAATATAAATTCACCAAAAATATAATTGAAGACTTGTTTTTTATGTATTCACATCCTTATACATCGGTAGCATAAGGTATTATCAATTATAATTTTATGTTTATAAAAATTGATTTTTTGCGAGTGTTTATTGAAACAATTTTGGTTTGGTTCAAAGCTCTTGAAAATTTGGGGCATTCTATATATACAAAACATAGAAAAATATTTATAAATAAAAATTTAAAAAAATATTTTTCTGAGAAAATATTGGGCTTTAATTCTGAAAGGTAAATGTATATGCTACGCCCGTACAAGATTCCTTTATTATTTAGTCGTCAGTATTATCATTGGCTTGGTAGTACTCCGACCATCTCCGACACGAAGGTGTATGTATACAGTCCTTTGTTTAGCAACACAAAAGAATTGCGGAATTCCGTAAAAAGAATAAAAAGCGAGCGTTTGTCGCACAATGTCGCCGGTGCACTTTTATCTCTAAAAATAAATTCGAGTGTTTTGTCACATCAAACCCGTGCGCGCGTTCATTTAATTTCCTAAAATTAATCCGTGGCAGCGTGTTCGACAATTAATTAAAAGCGCTGAGTTCCATTCAAACCGACATGGTCGGGGGGGGGGGGGGGGGTCACACGACGACGGGAAAAATTAATTACTGAATCGACAAGTCCCGCTGTCGACATTTCAATTCCATTATTTTTAGAGCAAGCTACCGCATTTCATAGTAGGACCCGAGAAGCAAGCGAATTCTACAATTTCGTACACGTCGCATAATAAGCACAAGCGAGACTATCAAAGGAAAAGACATAATAAGGTCCTTTGTAAATCGGCTTATGTATTTATACTGTAATCCGGCCCTAAAAAATGGTCACAGTAAAGGATGCTTATGTTACAGAGCCATAATATGGGGCCGGAGCCCATTCTGAGTTCTTCGCGTACGAACTATAATGTATAATGCGCAGTATAACATAATGTTTCTGTTTTTCTCATATGAGCTTAATAAAACAATGTTCTTATATCCTTATGTATATATATATATATATATATATATATATATATATGTACATATATACATATACATATACTATTCAATAACGCGTTTCCTAGTTCATCGTGCTGAGACTTTCTTGATGGTGCAAAAGATTCCTGTATCAATTCCACATAATATGAAAATTTCTATTTAATTGAACAAAATTCACCAAATGTATATAATTTACATATCGGGAAATTCATACAACTTGCCCTAAGGGAAAATATCGCATACACCTAGCCAAATTTGGTCGCATTCGAATTCGAAGTCTGAATGGTCTCATTCGATTCAGATTCATGTATCAATTTCACATAATATAAAAAATTCAGTTTAATTGAATAAAATTCACTAAATGTATATAATTTACAAATCGGGAAACTCATACAAATTGCCCTAAGGCAAAATGTCGCATACATCTAGCCAAATTTGGTTGCATTCGAATTAGAATGATGATGAATGGTCTCATTCGATTCAGATTCATGTATCAATTTCACATAATATGAAAATGTCTATTTAATTGAATAAAATTTACCAAATGTATATAATTTACATATCGGGAAATTCACACAAATTGCCCTAAGGCAAAATGCCACTTACACCTAGTAAAATTTGGTATAAGTGTAAGTGATTCGATTCAGAATGATGATGAAATGTCACGTGAGGGAGGGAGGTGTACAGTGAGATATCACGTGTATTTATTTTTTACCTGATTTTTTTTAAGTCCAAACATTTTTTTCTCGTAACTAAAAATACACGTGATTTTTAGTGGGGAAGTCGGATAATTTTGAATATCACCACGTATCACCAAGGGAGGGGAGGGGTCCAAAAATCCTTAAAAAATCGATCACATGATCAATGGACCTTAATAATTTCCCAAATTTTCGCGGCGTAAGAAGTATATTTAAATAAAATAAAGGAAACTTATTCTAAGTATTTACAAAAAATGTTAGAAGTAGACAACCTTTGATAAAATTAAATTGTTTTTTATATAAAATTTAAGCTTGTTCATACGCTCAAAAAATCATAATTAAATTAAAGTAAAATGAAGTGATGTAATTACTGTTATGATTTCAACGAAATAGGAGGTGAATCAAGAAAAGATTTAAAATTTAAGAAAAAAATCAGTGGCGGTATATAAATAAAAAAAATCACTTAAAGCTATAATAAATGACTAGAATTAAATACTAAAAAATTCATAAATACTAAATTTTTGTAATTCAATTTAACTCTTACGATATGATTATTAATGATAAATAAAATTATGATTTAGAGGCACTTACCGAACACTTTCTGGAGACGGTTACTGGGCTGAAGCTCTGCCTAAGACATCGGCGCCTCTTTGTGCTACTGCAGACCCCGCAAGGGACTACCGATGGCATGCACGCCACTGCGGCGGTGCCGAAGTCGCTTCTTTCGTATGCGAACTCAAAGGTACAGAATTCCAGGACGATTATTGAAAAAGATCTAGAAACACAAATTATTATATAGTAATATTAATCATACAAACATGAAACACAAATATACGGTTGTCAAATATCTCCCTTCCGCCTTTTTGTATTATAAACCAAGAGCAAAAAAGCGGAAGGGAGATATTTGACAACCTAAGATGACAAATGCCTATACCACATCTGTGTTAACTAATCGTAGTTATGCAACACATTATTTTCAAAATTTGATATTCGACGATTTTGATATGATGATAAGATATTTTTTGCATAAATTAAATGCGTAATGTTTTTTTATTGGTAGTTCCCGATTGGACAAAAGAATGCACTGTCTCAACTATGACCGGTATACAGTACGCTTACCTTCCGGAAGAAGTCGCTGTCCAACTTGAAGTAAAATGCCCACTTGATGAAGATGGATTAAGAAAAGTTCGCTGTCAAGGCAGACAGGTAATAAATATTTTTTTAAAAAAAAATTATTAGTTTTAATTTGGTTCAGATTCAATATTATATTTTTATCATTTTTATTAGGACCGCAAGGCTATGGAGAAGCAGCTAGCATGTGTTCCAGAAGCCGGAGATATCTTAGACAATATGATTCCTCAGTCATCTGGATCCGGTAAAGTAACTACCAAGGCTCCAGCCGTCCCCAAAACTTGGCGTTATACTTCTATCGCAAGTCTCGAAGACGGACCTCAAACCAGACATCGCAGAGAAGCAGATGTAGCTACTCCTTCAGAAGCAGATGCCACTTGGAGCAGTACATATCGTAGCACATCTGTAGATGAGGAAATCGAAGCCTTAGAAGAAACAGCACGACGAGACGGCGTTTTAGTAGAAGACTCCGATGTCGACATGATGATGGCAGATGAACGCACCATAGAAAATTTCGTCGTGGACAGCACACCAACCTCCGAAGCTACGGATACAGAAATTGATGTTATTGAAACTGTTAACAGCATTAGCGAATCCGCAACTCCAAATACTGTATCCACAGAACCAGAGAAAGATCAAGTTATAACCACCTCCGAAGCACAGATTAGTAGTCAATCAAACGCCCCTTTGCAACCCGATCAACGAGGCATCAAACCCCCAATGGTACATGCAAGATCAGATTCGAAATCTATGGATTGGGTCAGCACTGAAGCAGATGATCATACGGCCGAAATGAAATTACTGGGACATTTGCCAAAGGGTCACGTCGTAGTAGATAATAAACAACCACATACCACGCCCATAGATGAAAGTGCAAGTGCAAGCAGTGCAGTTAACTTAGAAATGGCTTCTGAAACTACTGAAAATGCAGGTTCTAGCACAACGACTTCGCAAAATATATTACCGATAGATACTGATATTGTTTTGTTAAAAGAAAGTTCGTACAGTATTGTTAAAAATGGCACGGTCATAGATGTTCTGGAATTGAATGATACTATTTCGGAGGAAGAAAAAACCACGAGCGATAATGTTGTGATAGCACCAATTGTAAGCGATAAGGAAATTGAAGACAACATGATTTTAAACGATGATGAAGAAAAACCTCTCAATGTGCAGAAACAAGATAAGAAAAAAATATCTGAGCATAAAGTTGTCGAACTCACATTCACCGAACCGAGCGTATTTTCATCAAGTTTCGTAATTACAACCAAGAACTTCAAAGAACCAACAAATGCACCATCGATGCAAACAAAAACTCAAACGCAAGAAATTGACCCTAAATTCGAAATACTGAATTCCAATGATTCCAAGGTAAATACAGACAGTGAATTGCTGTTCGAAAATAAATCTGCGCCGTTCATTACAACTGATGCATCAAAGGAAGCGACGACTTCCGAGGCATCTAAAAAAACTGAAGATTTAAGTCCTACTCCTAATGATACCGAAAAGGAAACAGTTGAATTTCAGGAAGCAGATATAGAACCATCAGAAGAAATGGATTCAGAACCAGAACAGCTTCACCGACCTAATAGAAGGCGCTTGCTAACACAACCCAAAGCAAGGGGTGGATATCCATTTCACATCAGACGAGTGTTAGGGTAACTCAATAAATAATAATCTTTTAAGTGGATTTATATAAAGACATTTGTAATTGATGGTAGTGTTATTGTATGTTTACTTCATATATGCCCAATCACTTTGGCAATTAAAAAATATCGGAGCGCACAGATATTCTTACAAGAATATCGCATGTAAAATTTTAAATTCGAATGAAATTTGGTTTTAGATTTTAGAATGAGCTTCTAAGTAGCGTTATAAACAATTGATTTTTAAATAGAATTAGTTGTTTCGTTGAATTTTACATTCTCTTCCAATTTTATTAAAGTTGCAAATTTACGTGTATAAAAATAATGATATTAAATTCGATTATATCAGGAACGAAACCAGAAAGCATTAATTATTAGGGCGAGTAAAAATTTTGTATATTTCTAGGATTGCCAATGTTAAAATAGAAATTATAAGTAGATATCAAATGTAGAATTAAATATAGTATATGTAGAACTAGATTTTCAAGCTAGATAATTTGATGTTAAATATATATTTAAATTTTTTGACTGTTAGAAATCTTTTATGAATGATTAGACTTGCGCTTCGTATTCTATTATTATTTCATAATGTTGATATAATAATAATGGTACAGTTTTACTTATTTTATAGGAACCTAGTGAGTGGTATTTGAGTAACAAAATAATTCCATCAATCGCATTCAAAAATATTGAAAAAAACTGCACAACACAAAAAATGATATTAAAACGCACCGTCCTTTAACCAGATAAATTTTATTATATTATATAAAATATTAAAATTTAAGTACTTAATATTTAAACATTTTGGTATTTATAAATTTACATATACACATTAATGAGTATGTGTGAATTTATTCAAAAATTGTTTTGCACAGAAAATACTATATATTTTATGAAATATTATAAAAACTAAGCAAAACTTTTGTATTTGATGGTTACCTATATTTGAATTGAGCAGGCTCAAAGCTAAGTTATAAATTATTCAAATTTTATCACATAGTGAATTCTCAACTTAAACCAAAGATAATTTTCAGTAATCAACATTCCTTAGTATTTAATGAAATATTTTTATTAAAGAATATTTTGCAGATTACTTATAAGCAAAAGGTTTTACTTTTGTTTATTCAGGTTTATTCCAATGTAAATATCAATTTATTTGTAGAATACAAATATCGTCGTCTTAAATATATCTTCAAAAATTGTTTATAAAAAATATTGTTTGCAAAATATTGTATTATTATTTGATAATAAAATTTAATCATTTATTGAACTTCTATCACTTTATATTGAAAATCCCTAACTAATAAAAGTAATAAAATAATAAATATTTATCAAAAAAATATAAAAATATATTTAAACATTTGTACAATTAACATCATATTTCATATAAACTTGCTAGCAAATCAAGGCTTAATAAAAACTTAAATATTAAAAACAACTTCATGAGATTAAATAATAACAATACTTTGCTAGAGATTCATAAATATTAAAATATTTTTATACATATGAAGTAAGTAAATAATATTCTACTAATAATTATATTATATTATTCAAACAAAAGTTTAAAGCTAATAAACATTAAGTTAGTAATTTTCCATTGACTATTTCCAAACACATTTTTCTCCTAAAATATTTCATATCATTTTGACTAAAATTAATTTTTGCTCCTCTACATATGTACTCCGCAAACATACATGAAAATACTCCACAGTCACAACCATTCATTTGTTGAGGTATATCCTAAAACCAATTATATGACAATAAATTTAAAATCTTTAAGCAGTAAAATATATAATTGTAAAAATTCACAATACCTTTACTGTCTCCTTTGTCCAGGTACTTGTATCTAGTGTTACTTTCTTCTTATCCAATGACTCCTCTTTCAAATAATTTTCTGCCATATCGAGAACACCTTTATTGGAACCGCCCATACTATCATAATACTTTATAGTTTTATGTTTAAAATCAATAATTAACATACACCAATGAACACCACTAACGTGAACTGGAATTGGCATTAAATCAAATGAAAATATATCCACTTTCCTTGTCCATCTACGAACGGAACTGTAACCACGAGTTCGAAGATTGACTAAGAAAAAACTGTCCATGGCATGAACCTATAATATATAAGTATATTTAATATAGAGAATATTATAAAAAATAATAAAAATAAGAACATTAAAATTGCCTTAAGATTTCCTGGTTCAGCTCCTCGTTGTGTTAGTAATTTCATATAGAAATTTATGACATTATCATTTAACCAATTTAAGCCACTCAGTGAATAAAGACAAGCGCCAGTAATGTTGTAACCAAATTTTTGAATAATCTGCTCTTGAGATGGAGAGCGCATGGCTTTATTGATTTTAGCATCTTCCTCTGGAGTGAATTCGGGTAATACTGTTTCGACCTCAAGTGGTTTCTCCTCCACTAAATCTATAACTTCTTTTATTTGCAGCTGTTTCAATAATCTCTCATTGATAATTTCATCAAATACTTTATTTTTGTCACTAAGAACTTGAGCTCGCAATTTTTCATCATTAATTTTCAATTTCTTTTGAAGTCCACTTTGGTCAAATCGTTTGTTTCTAGAAGAATAAAATAAAAAATAGAATATTCGCATTAATTGAAAAAGTAAATAAACTCACAAGTTATGTATCCATTCAGTATGCTTGGTGACTGGTGACACATTTTTCCTTCTAATAGTAATATTCTTTAAAGCCCCATTAGTATCGCCTTCTCTTGATAGTTCCAGAATCGATTTCCTAGACTTTTCATTTTTAAGGATACTCTTTCGATTGTCTTCAGCTTTTTCATCTTTAGTTAAATCCACCATTGAAGGTGTCTTGAATGAGTTTTCATCTTTAGTTAAATCCACAAACAAAGGTTTCTTGAATAAGTTATTTTTATTTTGTTCAAGTGTGACACAAGCCACAGGCGCGTGACTTTTAATAAGATTACAGTAATTAATTTTTTCACGTAATTTGTTTACGTCATACAAAGCTGAACTTTTATTCAAATCTAGATTTCGATTTTTGTCAGTTAGAGGATGCTGAGCATACTTAGCTGCCAAATTTTCTTTTTTACATAATTTAATTTATGATTTTTATGTTTTTGTATATGATTTAAAAATTCAGTATCCTTTGGTTTCAATACACATTGTTTTGGTTTATCCATCTGCATAAATGTTTCAATATATTTAGTAAGTATAACAGAAATAATATTTATAATTACAGAAACTTACAATTACATGTGTTCCATTAGATTTGAGCGGAGTAGCAGATAATGGCATTTGGTAACTGTTATTCATACTTGAAGTACATTCATTATCATCTATGACTACACATACATTAATTAGGGGTTATTATTTAGAAATTACAACAAGTATGTTATTATTATTTGAATATTTACCAATATTTTCTTCATCATTGTTATATTTCATACGTTTATTTTGATGCATGGAATCAGCAACGTAGTAGCTGTCTAAATGACTGAACAAAACAGAAGATTGTCAATAAAGTTTTCAGTCCGAATCCGAATTGATCAAATAATTTTGTTTTGTACATACCATCGTTTATTATTCTCAGTTGTCAACTGCGGCTCTATAACTTCTTCTTCGGGTCCCGAAAAATAATAAAAAACCCGCCTAAGTATTGACAACATTTCACCAACGTCGATAAAACTAACAATTCATTAAAATTAAAGGGGGCATGTTAAAAATCAACTATGAAACAATTATAACTAACTTAATTTGCACTAAATAAACTTATTAATCAAATTATCAATATGCAAAGAACAATTGTTGCACAAAATGATAGTTTTTGTATAAAGAATTAGAAAAGTCAAGAATCAGCAGTACCACCAGAAGTGACAAAATAAAATTCAAAATCAAACATTCAGCATACAGAAAAAGTTTAAAAAGAGCTCTATTTAGCTATATATATTGAAATATAAATTTTTAAATAAAGAAACTTATTACGTTATTTTTTTTAATTATGTTAATGTACCATGTCTCAAAAACTCTACTGTTGGATTAAAGATTTACTATGGATTTACTAACCTTAACTAATTTTATGCAGTACATGTTTTTGTAATTATTTTTCATATAATTAAGTTATTGTTAATACTTATAATATTTGTGAAGTCTGTAACTATAATAATTAAGTTAGTTTGTTAATGCAAAAAATTATCTTGTGCCCAGTTCAAATATTAATTTCTTATGTTACTTTACCTGCATTTTCTGAATCTAACTTCAACTCGACCTGTCACTGTCACTGTCAAATAAGAATATCGAATGTCAAACTTTAATGATAATTCACACACCGCTATTCCGCCTAGTGATAAATTTATTTATTTTGCAAATTACAGATGTATTTGTTAAACATTTGATCTGCTATGGACGGGGGTAGTATAGATTTACAGACAAAATATGACAAACTTGCTTCAGAATATTCCAAGGTAATTTGCACATAAAAATTGTACTAGATAATTTCAATATCCTGTCTATTTAAACGATATAAATAATATAATCATGAGAACTGGAATATAATCACAAATCTTGCTATTAAACAAATATTTTTGCTCATAATGTGATAATGTAAAATCAAACTGTAAAATAATTATTAAAATTTAAATTAATCATTATGTTTTTATGTTAGTTGCGAGCACAGGCTACTGTACTACGACGTGCAGTACTGGAAGAACAGAGCAAAAATAGTAATCTAAAAGAAACATTAAGAAGTAAAGAAATATCCCTTCGGAGAACTGAGCAAGAAGTAGATAGCTTGTGCTTTAGAAATGAGCAACTGTTGAGAAGAGTATCAACGTTACAAGATGATTTAGATAGTGAAATAAAAAATAAAAAACATAAACGTCGCACTGATTCAAATAAACAATCAGTAGATAAAAGTGTAATTGATGAAGATCTAGAAAAAAAAATTGTGGAGATTTCAGAATTGACATCACAAGTAAACCTTGAATATTCCATTGTAAAATTAGATTCTTATATTCATGTAAATTTATATTACAGATTTCAGATAAAGATTCTGAAATTCTCTTATTAAATGAAAGAGTTGAAATATTAGAAACCCGTTTAGCAAGGCAATTGCAAGAAAGTGCCAACACAGAAAGTAAACTACGTAAACAATTGATTTCACATAGATGTAAAAGTGGTGATGCTGAAATTGTGTCCGAAAGTTCTGAAGCTGCAAGTCTAGTAATTCTGTGGACTGATTTATAAAGTATAAAATATTAACTTATATAATAATAAATCTATATTGTAGGTTGGGAGTGAGGACAGTTTATCTGTGGATGAACATGCAATAAATAGCAATGATGAAAAATTAGTAAATACCACACATGTTAAAAGCAATTTAAATACTTCTAATAAAAGTGCTGAATCAAGTAGAATAACAGAATTAGAAAGAGAAGTTCAACACTGGAAAACGGAATATGAGCTTCAAAAGATGATGACCACATCATATCCAAGTAATACTTTAGTACAGCAATCAAATGGTAATAGTAATGCAATAGAAAGAGAGTCAGAAACCATCACAAAAACTGAAATTCTTGGAAGGTATTTAATAATATAACTGACTTTGTTCTTTAAATTTAAAAGATGCTATTTTTATTAATCTTTGTTAGAATAAAAACACCTACTGCAGCTAATGAAGAAGCTTGTGCCAGAGAAGCAAAACTTAGGAATTATTTCACAGACAGATTAAATTCATTAGCTGAATCTAAATCATTAGTAGCTAGTCAAGTAAATAGTTTAACAATAGAGGTATTGAAGATTGAAATTATTTATAACAAATGCTCATACTTTTAACACCACATGTACATTTTAGATTTCAGCTTTACGAAATCATTTAGAAATTAAAGACAATGAAATTCAAAATATTTACCATGCATCCAATGCTTTGGAAAATAAGTGCAAAGAGCTGGAAGAAGAATTGGTAATAATTTAAATTGATATTAAATAGAATTTTCAAAGAGAATTTTCAAATTCTATCACATCATATTAAATTAATTTTTAGTCAACAACAAGAATGAATTATGAAGAGCAATTAAGAATAGTTACAGAGCATGCTGCAGATTTGTATGATAAATTAGGTCCTACAAGATAGAACACTGGATGTTTTATTTGCTGCCTGTTTGAATCTACATATATAATTAAGAAATGTAACCAATTATTGAATTCCTATTTTTATTATATTGTTTAAAAAACTGTTATTTAAATAAAGTATATTGTTTGCATTTATATGAAGGTAATATATGTAATATAAGTATAAATCAATAAATTTATGATTTTATGTATATCTAGAGTTGATAATTAAATCATAAACTTTTGAATGTTTTTATTTATTTTTGTAATAACAATATAATTTTAACAAATATATATTAAATTAAGTTCATACGTAGATTTAATCTAACCTTAATGCAAATGAAGATCCACAGGAGCATCCTTGTTCAGCCCTAGGGTTCGATAAAATTTTAAAGCCTGTTCTTATTAGCTCAGCATGGTAGTCTACTGTTGCGCCTTTTAGAAATTCTAAGGAATCTTTGTCTACTACAACTCGACTGTTTCCAGTACCAAATATTCTAAAAAAATAAAGCTTGATATTATCTATAGCTGGCAAAAAGGCTTCATTTTGTGCAAGCCAATTATTTGAAAGAATAATTTGAATTAACATAACTAAACCTACTTATCGTCTTCTGCAATTTTGGTGTCAAGATCAAATTTGTACTGGAATCCTGAGCACCCTCCACCCTCGACGACAACTCTCAAAAATTGATCATTTTCACAAATTTCTTTCAAACGCTTGACGCAAGATTCAGTAAGTAATAAATCTTGTTTTACATCTGTTGTATAAAGTCGTGATGCAAATACAGAAATTGCATTCTGTTCTAACCTATCACATAAAAATATATAATTATATTATGATGTGTTAGATCTATTATTATATATGTATCTTAGCACTAGGATTTATTACTTAATATTAGAACGAATTTGTTTTCTCAAAAGCGCGTTCAATAACGTTACCATATCTAGTTTTTGTCAGGATTCAAATTTAGTGCAAAATTTTGACGTTTGATCGTATGCAAATTTGAGGTTATGCACCCCAGTCCAGTGCAACTATTTTCGAACGGGTTGTCTACATTATTTTGTTTCAGTACGGGTTGACCAATCGCTCATCAACGACGATAAATAAAACACTATTAACTGCAAAACGCAAGTTGACGAATATTTTTTAATTTAAACTTATAAATAGCATCCACTGAAATCATTTTGAATAAATATTTCACGATGTCTATCAACGACTGTGAAGAGAAACGAGAAATCATCGAAAGGAAGTTGGAAATTCCGGATTTCGCGTTGAAGCATCCCCTTCAGCACACATGGACTTTGTGGTATTTTGAAAACGACCGGCAAAAGACATGGGAAGAAAATCAACGAGAAATAGTCAGTTTTGCTACAATTGAAGACTTCTGGAGTGTTTATAGCCATATAAAGATGGCTAGCGAATTGCGTCAAGGATGCGATTATTCCTTGTTCAAAAGCGGCATCAGGCCAATGTGGGAAGATGACGCCAATAAGCATGGAGGTAAGTGGGCCATCACCATGGACAAAAAGCAGCGAACAAATGATTTGGATAGATTCTGGTTGGACACCCTTCTCTGCTTAATCGGTGAAGCTTTTGAAAATTCCGACGATGTCTGTGGGGCTGTGGTGAACGTACGAGCCAAATGGGACAAAATCGGCGTCTGGACGAAGGATGCCAGCCATTGTTCATCTGTTATGGAAATCGGCTGGAAGCTGAAAGAACGATTGCGCATTGCACCCAAGATTCAGATTGGTTATCACACCCACAAGGATGCCATGGCCAAATCTGGATCTTCAACAAAAAGCTCTTATGTTGTTTAAAAACTGCCAATGCATGTTAGATTCTTTAAAGAATTCTCTTATTAGTTGCCACTCTGGAAAGGGCAAGACTTTTGTTTGTTATTCAGATAATTATATTTTCCGCTTGCTTGATGGCAGAATGAATGAATGTTTTCTTTTCTAAATTTTGAATACAGTTATTTGTTTATATATAAATAATTAATAAGTAATTTTTCTACTTAATGACTGATACTTGTGTATGATTAAATTAATTGTGAATAAAGGTAACAGTAAAATATTTATTCGTAATTCATATTTACAAAATATCAATCACTATTAGAAATATAATATAGAAATAAATATTATAAAGTCCAAAAACAATACAAATAATTTAAGAAACAATTGAATTTTGCAACTTTTGTAATATA